TGAAAGTCATTTAGGACTTGCCCTTGATTTTGTGTTGACGTAATGTTTGGACCGCGTGTTACTGTCAGAAGTCCCATTTGTTTGGCTGATGCCATTCAATTTCCATCTATCTTGGCTTTGGTCTTTTCATACTGGGATTTCATGGCTACCAGAGAAAGAAAACTTTTTATCCCCAAAAAGCTTTAGTTGCTTTGTTTCTGGAATGGATTTCGTCTGAAGGGTCAGCCCTGACTCTGGTCCACAGGGAGTCAGCCTGCAGGATGGACGTGCGTTAGCTTTACTGTGGCTGGTTCTGAGCCGCAAAGGAACGAGTTCCTGTTCCCCCTCCACTGCACTGTGGCATCAGTCCGAGAGCCGAGCAGCCACAGTCACGCCCAAGACCAGAGCCACTCCTACGAAGGCAGCAGGGTGACCATCTGCTCCACTTGGCCAGCTCCGGCTTTGGAAGCTGAGAGGTATCTCAGATGCTGATTATATCTTGGCTTAACCTTGGAGAGTGAAAAGAGGGATGCATATCAAGGGCATTTATCTTTCTACCCCACAGGCTCCTCCCAATTCCAATATGGTTCAAAGCAGGAACTCCAGAGTAGGTGGAAGTGAGCGTGACCCCAGGCAGGTCCCCTCACCTTGGCAGGTCGTATCTGGGCAAGGACATGGTGACGGAACTGCAGCTTCTGGGTAACTGCCAGGGTTAGGTGGGAAATCACCAGCCTCGCATTTAGGACAATGTTCAGGAAGTGGCCAATTCTCAATAAATGGCAACTGTAACTAGTTTCAACAAGAGTAGCAACATTCACACAACGCACATGGACTCAATCCTCTCCTTTACATGGGCTTCACCGTGCATTTCAGTCCTTTTTTATTTGATCATAATAACAATATCGACTCCGCAAACTATCTTTTGCCTAACTCCCCATCTGAGCTGAACACCAGTCCTCACAATTTCACTGACACCCAGTGCTCAGAGCCCAAAGTAAACCTCAAGATCTGACCTCTGTGAATGATCCCATTAGTTTTCCAGTTACCTAGGCAGAAGGATAGAGCTATTAAAAATAACAATACCATCCATTAATCAGCTGCCAAATCATTCATTCATTGCATTCATTTGTTTGACAAATATCAACGGGTCCTTTTCTACACCAAGCACAGTGCTAAACCCTAGGTACATGCAGCGACCAGAATGGACACGGTTTCTGTCCTCAGCTGCAAATATAGACTTTACACTTGGATGGACATTTCAATCCATATGAGAAAGTGTAACGGGGACATAATTTACAACAAAGAGTTAGGGGAGAACCCCAAGAGAAGTGACAATTTGAAAAGCGGGGCAGAGAGGTCAGCGTGTGCCCAGGCACTGGGGCCGGCGAGGGGCGCTGCCCTTTCCTGAGCAGCTGGAAGGTGGCCATGGGCTGCAGGGTGGTGAGCTGGCTGCAGGGGAGGCTGCAGCGGTGGGCAGGGGCTTACCAGCCACGCATGGGAGCCCCTGAAGGGTTCTGAGCAGGAGAGGCACAGCATCGGGTCGCTCTGGCTGCTCTTGGCGAATGGACTGGAGGGGGCAAGAACAGAGTTAGAGACTGGTCAGGGGGCTGCCTGGCTGCTTGTGAGGACAGATGGCTGGTGGCTGTGGCGATGGAGAGGAGCAGATGGGTCTGAGGCAGTCTGGAGGACCGACAGGGACTTGGTGGCCAGGATGTGCAGAGCAAGGAAGGGGAGGTGCCGAGGTGGAGTGTCAGGTTTCTGACCGCCAGCTGCTCTGTGCAGCTCAAAGTGTCGACAGAATCTACCTTTCGGGAGACCTTATGTTCCTAGAATATCACACGAGAGATCCCTGCTTGGCCTCCAAGACATGATAACTCCCTCCCTGAGTCACTGCTCCTTCTTTGGAGTTTTCCTACCCCCTTTCTATGCCAACCTCAGATCACCCCATGCGGCACTTCCTCCCCACTTCAGTCCAGTCACATGGCGCCCCATTCACAAATCTCCAGCAGTTCCTTCACACCTGTTTCGGCACACCTCAGCGTGGCTTCCAGGGTTCCCAACAGCCCGTGTTGCCCCACTTCTGCCCTTTTTGGGGGAACTGCATTACTGACTGTCCCTTGCCTTGGCTCCAGTCCTGAAATCTTACCATCTCAGTTAAGTGAAACCTCGCCCAGTCCTCAAAGTTCACTGCTTACGAAATGCCCCATCTTTAAATCCCCTAATGCTTTGTATCTTTGCAATAGTACTCCAGTTCTGTGTTTTTTTAAATTGGGACTATTAGTTTTATCATGACTTACCTCGTGTGCATTCCCTGCCCCCTTACAGATCACAGTGCCTTTGTGTGTGTGGTTGTTATACTGCTCCCACTTCCCTGCCCTTACAGGGCCAAGAACATGACTTCAGGGGCCAGCATCGAGATGTGGAAGGTTAAGCCACCACCTATGTTACTGGCATCCCGTACGAGCTGTTCCATTTCCTATCTGGCTCCCGGCAAGCAGGCATGGGAACACAACAAACAGAAGCCCAAGGACTTGGACTCCTGTCACCATGTGGGAGACCTAGGAGCTGTAGGCACCTGGCTTTGGCCTGGCTCAGCTCTGGCCATCTGGAGCAAACCAGCAGATGGAAGATCCCTCCATGTCTTCTCCTTCCCACCTGTTAACTCAGCCTTTCAAACAAACACATCTTTTTTGCCACTTTGCCCGTAGCAGGTGCATTTTCTTAACTTTAATTTGGAACAATGTATATTATGTTATGGAGTAATGATAACCAAGTTGGTTATCCTCTCTGTCTCTCCTCTCTGTAGAATATCTGACCTTCCAATAAAAAAATAAAATAAATAAAAAAAAACAGTAATGAATTGGAGCTGGTGTTATGACAGAGTAAAGCCACTTCCTGCCAATACCAGTATCTCACACTGGTTCAAGTCCTGGCTGCTCCACTTAGCTCCCTCCCTGGGAAAAGCAGAGCAAAAGGGCACAGGTACTATGTGGGAGACCTGGATGAAGCTCCTGGTCAGCCTGGCCCAGCCGCAGCTGTTGGGCCATCTGGGAAGTGACCCAAAGGATGGAAGATTCTCTCTGTAACTCTTTCAAATAAATAATTAAAACAGGTACGGGGGCTTGGGAGTGTGGTAGATGTATGATGCTTGGGGTCTACATTGCTGGTGGGTGGTGAGGAGGATACAGAGAAAACCGTTCCCCAGTCAGCTGAGCGCCCGCGACGGTACACGGCACCAGCCCACCTGAGTCACCCCAGGCTCTCGTCGCACCAGCCCACCTGAGTCACCCCAGGCTCTCGTCGCACCAGCCCACCTGAGTCACCCCAGGCTCTCGTCGCACCAGCCCACCTGAGTCACACCCAGGCTCTCGTCTGGCCAGCACACAAGAGACCAGCCCCAAACCCCAACTCCAGACCTAGCTGCACTTCACAGGTTTCCCCTTATAATGTGCTGTTCCTCCCATCACATTCGCCACTGATGGTTGAGAAGCCAGCGCCAGGCTTCCTGACTAATGCATGTAAACACTCTTAATTGTCAATTACACTTCTGACAAATAACTGGGTCAGAAGCCAGAGGTGGCACATCAAAGCTACTGCAGTACAAAGAGCCCTACAACGGGTGCTGACCCATTTGGGTTATGCCTGGGTGACACTGGGCCTATTGCACAACCTCAGGCCCTCCCGCCCCAACTCTGTGGCCGACAGGTGAAGGTAACCTTGGCTGGAAGGAAAAGAAGCCCATGAGATGGAAGAGACACACAATGCCATTCTCCAGGCTTGTTTAAATATGAATTAATTCATCTCTCACAATCCAGATTGGGTTAACACCCTTTGGTGATATTCTATGTCAAGGTCTCTGCTGACGACTGGAGAAAGGCCAAACTTCTTTCTGGCATGGCAACTTTCCCACACTGTCCAATTTCAGCTCCTACTTTCGGTGGCTCCGACCTCCAGCCCTCTGCGCCGCCCCCAGCACCACCCGCCCTGCCCGGGTGTGCTTATCATCACTCTACCTCGGCCGAATTCCTGGCCACCACTCCCTCTGCCAGTAACCTTCATTAAACCTTCCGGAGCAAAGTTCTGAAACCTTCGCGAAGACTACCAGCTGCTCCAATCACACTGAGCTCGGGTCTTTGGCTCCGCATTCCTACAGGACCCACCCAGGTGCTGGGAATTATCCTCTTGTCACAGATAAGAACAGGAGGCCCAGGGGAGGTGGGCGTGAGCCACAGCCATTCCAGGTGTGGGTCGTTAACCTGCTTTTTAGTGTACCAAGTCACCTCCACCTCTGAAAAGACGGCAGGAGGAAAGATGGGATTCCAAAAGCTTATCAATCAGCTCTAAAACTGCCTGTGGTAACATACACTCAGGTGCACCTTTGAACCATTCGAGTAATAAATGATTGGAGTAGCACAGGTGGCTCTTAGGGGGAGCGGGTTGCTAGTCCTGTTTCCCAAGCCCAGTATTAAAACGACACTCCAAAGTAAATGACAGGTGGGTGGCTAAGGAGGGAGGAGGGGAGAGGAAGCAATATGGTATAAGAAAATATTAGAAATGTGGCAGGAGATGAAAGTGTAACACAAGCACAAAATGGTCAGAAAGTGGAAGTGTGGCAGACGGGGCTGGGGAAGCCCAAAGGGCTAAAGTGTCTAAGTTCAGGGGCCTGGTGAGAGGCACGCTGCTGTGTGTGTGGTGGGGTGCTCATAGACAGCAGCGCACATGGCCCGGGACGGCAACTCAGCAGAGCGCTGCACAGGGACAGATCCAGGGGCCAAGGGTGGAGCATGGTTTGCCCTGGAGGCTGCGGGCGCCGCCGGAGGGGCCAGAGGGCACGGCACCCCCAGACCCAGACACCCACAGACGGGACCTGTCTTCCCCTACACCGCTTCAGGATTCACACCCACACCCCATAACAGCCCTCCTCGGTGTGTGTGTAGAGAATGAGGTCCTGTCCCTCCCCACGCCGCCTCTATTCCCGGACAACTCTGTGAGGGGGCAGAGGGAAGCAGGAGGGTCCTTACCCAGGAAGATGGAGATGATGAGCCGCAGCGCCTGTTCTGACGCGCCCAGGGACGCCGCCAACTTGTTCAGGCTCAGCTCCTCGAAACCCGACTGCAGCCCCCTCACGAACTCCCCCGCCGTCCCCACGTCCCCCTCCGCTGCGGACGCCATCTTAACTGCGGGCGCCCCCCCTCCCCAGGGACCCCCAAGCTCCGCGCGCCCCGAATGTGGGCAAGACGCTGTGTGGCTTCACCCCCAATTCCGGCCCGGGGCCCGCCCACGGCGTGCGCATTGGCTGCAGGTCCGCCCAGCGCCGCCAGGCCCACCCGATTATTGGTCGAGGCGGGCCTGGGGGGCGGGGCCTCGCGCGGTAAGGTAGGAAGAGGGCGGGCCGGAACGTTTGTAAGGCAAAGGTGACTCCTGCCCGAGAGTGAGCGCCGGTCGGGGCGGGGCGCCGTCCGCCGGAGCTGCCATTGGAAAGGTCCGTGCTAACTGCTCGGGGGGCGGAGTCTGCCGGAGCGAGTGTCCGGCCGGCTCGTTCGCCGCCTTCCCATTGGCCGAGTCGCGAGCAGGCGAGAGTCGGCGCGGGGAGGGGGGCCCGTCACCCGACCGCGAGGTTACTTTCGGTCGCCGGCGCGCTGGGGTTACTGGGGCATGTAACGGGGAGAGGCGGGAATGCCTGCCGCAGCCCCCCTCGAGCGCCTCCTAACGGTGCTTCCCGGCCGTTCCCGGCTTCCTCAGCCGTTAGGCTGGCAGCCACCGCTCCCCAGGGGCTGTCGGGGAGAGCCACCCCCTTTGATCCTTTCCCGGTGAAATTTCCCACAGTAAAAATGTAGCCTGCCCCCACCCCCCTCAGAGGCGATGACATTATAATATGCCTGATGAGCACGTATGAATTGAAATGTCAATTGGTCTGTCCCCAAGCAAGTTCTGTGCAGCCCACAGTGTAGACATGTAAAACGGAGTCGATTATATATATATACTTGTCATGTGCCAGGAGCTGTTGCTGGGTGGGTGTGCGCGCCCCAAAGCCCTCGGTGGGGTGATGCACAGTGGCTCTGACCTGGGGTGAAGCTGCACACGAAGGCAGGAACTCTGAGGACAGGACCCAGGTTCCCTGCGCGTCTGCAACCAAGGAACACGCAGCGTCTTGTAGTCACTGGATTTGCCCAGCATTCTCGGACAGTTACAGCTTGTGTTTTTCATAGTGCTTTGCACTCTCTCACACACATTTTATTATTATCATATCCTCTCAGAGAATCACAGGCTAGGAGAGATTCAGTGCCTTTTCCAGGAAGTGGGAGAGACAAAATGTAGACCTCGGTCTGTAATGTAAGCATCCCACAGTGGACGGCTTGCCTGCGTCCTGCGTTCTCCACTTCCTGCTAATGTGCCTGGGAAGGCAGCAGAAGAGGGTCCAAGAACTTGCATCCTTGCCATTCAGACTGTCAGGCTCACCTAGAGGTGAGAGGGCTGGGCCTAACACCGTAGTCTGGTGGCTAAAGCCTAACACCCACGAGACCCCACATGGATGCCAGTTCAAGTCCTGGTTACTCCACTTCCCATCCAGCTCCCTGCTTGTGGCCTGGGAAAGCAGTCAAGGACGACCCAATGCGTTGGGACCCTGCCCTCGTGTGGGAGACCTGGAGGAGGTTCCTGGCTCCTGGTTTCGCATCAGCACAGAACTGGCAGTTGCACTCAACTTAGGGAGTGAATCATCAGAAGATCTTCCTCTCTCTCCTCTTCTCTGTATATCTGATTTTGTAATAAAAAGAAATAAATATCTTTTAAAAATACCTAGGGGGCCCGGCGCGGTGGCGCAAGTGGTTAAAGGTCCTCGCCTTGCACGCCCGGGATCCCATATGGGCGCCGGTTCTAATCCCGGCAGCCCCGCTTCCCATCCAACTCCCTGCTTGTGGCCTGGGAAAGCAGTCAAGGACGGCCCAAAGCTTTGGGACCCTGCACCCGCGTGGGAGACCCGGAAGAGGCTCCTGGCTTCGGATCGGCATAGTATCGGCCCGTTGCGCTCACTTGGGGAGTGAATCATCGGATGGAAGATCTTCCTCTCTGTCTCTCCTCTCTGTATATCCGCCTTTCCAATGAAAACATAATAAAAATAAATCTTTAAAAATACCTAGGAAGTTAGGTGAGGAGCTCTAGTGTCCATCACTGAACAGAAGAGACAGGATATCTGTCAATTCCAAATTCAGCGTGGAGCTAACCATGTGGAAGATGTGTGCGCAAAGATGAAGCTTCCTTGTATCTAAGGCCCGGCTTCCTCCACCTTCCACCAGTCCTGAAATCAGGATGCACCTTAGCATCAACAGCTTAGCCCAGCGTGGTATATTAAGACATGTGTACCTCCAGGCTGTAGGCAGCTGCCTAGGTTGCCTTGTACCTGTGCAAATGTTACACTGCTGGGAGAAAAGCAGCCAAGGCTGGTGGGCATTCTGGGCCTGGTTAATGCTAAACTTGTGTTAATGATACCAATGCGCTAGCATAGTTGTCTATTGTATTATTTAAAAATAGTTGAGCCATCGACTAAAATAGTTGAGCCATCCTCTTCCACTTTTCCAGGTGCACTGGTAGGAAGCTGGACTGGAGATGGAGCAGCTGGGACTAGAACCAGTTCCTATATGGTATGCCAGCACTGCAGGTGGAAGCGTAGCTTACTATACCACAGTGCCAGCCCGGATGTATTTCCATTGTTATCGTAAAGGTGTGTGTGTGTGGAGAGAGAGAGAGAGAGAGAGAGAGAGAGAGAGAGAGAGACTGCAGCAGCTGGAGCTGGGCCCCGCTGAAACCAGGAGTTGGCACTCAGTGTTGGTCTCCCATGTGCGCAGAGCCATCACCATTCCCTCTCAGGATGTGTGTTAAGAGGAAGTTAGAATTGCAAATGTGGGGGGGACTCAGACCCAGGTCTGGAAAGGGGGTACAGCTGTTCCTAGCAAAGTCCTAACCTCCATGCCCAATACTCATTCAATGCCTTTTTTTAAAAAAGATTTATTTATTTTTATTGGAAAGGCAAATCAGATTTATGAAGAGAAGGAGATATGAGAGGAAGATCTTTCATCCAATGCCTCACTCCCCAAATGGCTGCAACAGCTAGAGCTGAGCCATTCCAAAACCAGGAGCCAGGAGCTTCTTCTGGGTCTCCCCTGCAAGTGCAGGGTCCTAAGACCATCCTCTACTGCTTTCCCAGGCCACAGGCAGGGAGCTTAGTGGGAAATGGAGCAGCTGGCACATGAAGTGGCACCCATTTGCGGATCCTGGTGCTTGCAAGGTGAGGGTTTACCCTTGAGCCATCATGTTGGGTCCCCAAATAGCTTTTTCACTTCTAATGATAGTTGAAATAGTGCAGCATCTTCAATTGATGAGCCCAAGACACTTTGGGATGCAGCGACTCAGACAAATGATGGAAGGGGGTAAGAGACACAGAGAAAAATGAGGCAGCGAAGGCTTTTGTAGAGGAGGGGCTCAGGGTCCCTCATTTGCAATTCTAATGTCTACAAGACTCTGAAAGCAAAGCATTCCCTCGCCACCAAGTGCAGCCACAGACATGGGCAGCAAAACTTGAGCTGAATGGATGGGAAGTGATTTCTAGCCTGAAGTTATTCCACTGGCGGCGAAGATCAATGTTTAGCTGCAGAAATATTAATGTTGGACAATGGCCTTGTTATCCCGGTTTCTGAGGGCAGGGGGCAGAGGAGAGACGTGTGAACTAACACCAAGACTGTTCTGCATTGCATTAAAAAATTGTTTCTGTGTGAAAGGTGGAGAAGCAGCTCTACACACACACACACACACACACACACACACACACGCACACAGAGATATGGTCAATCTGGTGGTTCAGTTGCCAAATGCCTGCGACACAGGAGCTGGGCTAGACTGAAGCCCAAGATCCTGAAACTCAGCCGGGGTCTCCTTTGTGGCTGGCAGGGACCGCAGTACTTGAGTCATCACTAGTTGCCACCCAGGGCATGCGTGAACAGGAAAGCTGGGATGGCAAGCGGAGGTGGGATTTGAACCCAGGCGCTGTAATCAGGCATGTAGGTGTCTTAAACATCATCTGAACTGCTGCTCCAAGTACCCACACTTGTGCTTGTTTGAAATCTGTAAATGTCTCAAAACAAATGCGCCTTCCAGGGCCGTGGCCGAAGGATTCTGGGTTGTAGACACGCTGCGGCTTGAGGAGTGAATAGAATCAAGATGTTGGGGATGTGGAAGAGGCTTTAGGAAGAGGACAAGGCATCATCCACACCAGCTCGGGTCTAGGTTTTGTTCAGCTGAGAAGTGCTACACCAGTCACTCTCCCTTAACGCCCAGTTGGGAGGGTGGGACTTGCTGAGTTTGGCTATTCTCCTCCTGTCAAGCGCCTCCTTTTCCCCCAAATCACCTGACTTACCCGAAAACGCTGCCTCCCACCCTCTTTGGCTGAGCAGGAGCGTTAAGCAATCTCCGAAATCCCCATTCCTCCCATCTGGTGCTGGCTCCACACGCGAGCACAAGAACCTCCACTCGGGCGGAGGCGGTAGTTCTCATTTCAAAAGCAGAGGGAGCTCCAGGATCAAGGCTGATCTGCCCGCTGGCTGTCGTGGTCTCCCAGCCCCCCTCTTTGTTTGGATCAGGGAATTCTGGACATACACCCTGGGGCAGGGACCCAGGACAGGGAAGTGCCTACAGAGGGAGCGGGAAGGCTGGAGCTGCCATCCTAGGGAACCGCTGCCGTCCAGCATGCCTGCTGCTCGGACGGGGACCCCCTCACCTGCTCCCACCAGCTTCTGAAGGTAAAACTCTTGGAAAGGAAGAACAGTTTTGATAGTGCTGGGTGGAGAAAGGTTTGTGGTAGAGCTGTAGGGCTGGGGAGAGGAGAATGAAAAGAAGGCAGAAGTAGGGGTCCATCCTCCGCGTTTTGTGGGACTTTGGCAAGTCTTCCTTGAGGACCCCAGGAAACTAACACACTTTCTTTTTTGTTGGAAAGGAAAACGAACAAATGCTGGACAAGGGATCTAGGAAATTTTCTTCCCTCTCTTTTAGGGTCCTTATAATTCCAATGTTTCTTCTTTTTTTGCTCTCCCGACCCTGTCTCAGACCACTCAGGGTCCTGTTGAACTGCACAAACGCACGCAGCAGATGATTCAGTAAATAAGGTTGGAGTGATAAGGGGTGATG